TACTTTCATTGATTATCTGTTTAACAAAGAAGCCCACCAATCTTTGCGCATTTAATATTCGGTCTTTTTAATAAAGACTTCATTAATCTATAGACTGTGCCTACTAAAATTCACCCCTTAATCTGCTCCCTTTAAAAGCTGTCTCTGATCACGTCGGTTATCTCCTCTGTCTTTATTTTTTATTTAATTTATTATCTAGCTGAAAATCATCCTTTCTTTCCTGATCGGCCACTGGCTTCCCACCCACCCTCCTGCTCTGGATAAACATAGCTAGTTGTCGTGTCAACAAGAACCACCTAACTTTTGCACATGCCTTGCCTTTCTCTGTTTTTTCAGCTGTCAGAATACACTAGTCATCCTTCAAGATACAGTGCAGTGCCAGCTACCCGAAAGGCTTCTCTCATCCCCTCTCCTGCGCTCCTGCTCCTGCCTGGCTCAGTCTCCAGCACTCGCCTATCCCAGCCCTGTCCTCTCATGAGTTGAACAGTCTTTCTTTGGACTGATGAACTTCTTAAGGAAAGGATCTTGTTTTATGTAAATGAATTATTAACACAATCATATTTTTATCCTGTATTAACTATGTTGTGTTTTGTTGTTGTTGTATACTTATCCCTGATTGAAGGACATAGACTACTCACTTAAAGGCTCAAGTGCCTAATCTTCAGGTGACAGCCTTAATATATAGATAACTTTGTATATTCTGGATGATTTTTGCTTAAAGAAGAAAGCTTCTGCCAGTCACCTTCAAGTCTTTTTAAAGGCCTATTTACAAAGCTATTTTTTCTCCCCCCAGTTTTTTATTTATTTCCCCTCTACTTTAATCTTAGACCCCTTCTTTTAGCTATTAAAAATTCCCATAGAGCTTTTACTTCTGAGCTTTTTCTTGCCTCCATCCCAAGTCCCCCCTAGGAAGCAGATGCCAACATTAAATCTCGAAAATTAAGCCCACAAGGAAAAAATTTCCCCCATGGGTTCCTTGGGTTTCAGGCCCACTCAGAAGCGCTTGAGGAAGAATTCTGCACCCTGGGCGTTTCCAGATAAGGTCCGATCCACCTCCCCAGACATACCCCTGTGCTCACAGCCCTGCTTGACATTAGAGCTTCAGGAGGGGAGCAGTGTGAACCGCCTTCCAGGAGGGCGGAGATTTTTGCCGGTTTCATTTTATTCCACACTTTTCTCTTGCTACTTCCCGAAAGTAGTTTTTCTGTTTTGTTTCGGCCAATCCGATCGACTTAATTTTGTTTCACACTTTCCATAATCCATCATCTAAGTCAATATGGAGCACCTAGTGTTGTTATGTATTAGAATGCCTATATTTGTAGGTTTTCATAACAGGAAAACAATGATAAGGATTCTCAAACACTTTTGCAATTTGAGGGGAAAAAACCCTCATTGTTTGCTGATCATTAACCTGTCTTTAATATCTAAGTAAGTATTATAAACAAAAAAATGGATAAATTGAAAACGATACTGCAGCATTAAGAGCTGAGCCCCTGCTGGCTACCGTGGGAATGGCTCCCCGTGTGATTTCACGGATTCCTCAGAACCTGAGGGTTTCCCCACTTCACAGCGGAAGAAATTAAGGAACACGGATCAACGACTTGTTCAAGGTCACACACATTATGTTACAGAGTTAGGATGTGAACCTCCGCTGTTTATTTCTAGAGACCAAGCTGATTGTCTTAAATTATAAGATGAATAGCCTTGTGAGGAAACTTAAAGGTCTTTCTTTAAAAGGAAAATGTGACTTTTCATTTGAAATTTTGTCTTTTGAGTTTCTGAAAGTATGCGTTTTGTGAGTGATGCTAAATCTTTATTGCTCGTCACATTCTTGACCTTGGACGACTTACATATTTATCTGTCCCTCTGTTCCTTTCTTTATAAAAAGAGGATTAAAAGCATCAATATAGAGATAAAATCCAGTAATATTTATAACATTTTATATCTGTACAAAATGCTAGTTGTTATACTAACTTCATTTTATGTTCTTAGTTACCAAGAATTTGACCTAGTTTTAAAATATCCTATAAATTCATAGCAAAATATTAAAAGAGACGACTGTAGTAGCAGAGGGCACAGGCATGATGAGCTTGCTGTATCCTCAGGCACTTTCTTTTTCGAGCCACAGTGATTTCAAAGTGGAATGTGTATTTCTGTATCAGAAGCTACAGGGCTGACCTTGAGGGAAGTCAAGATATTTAGTTAAAGTAATATAATGCTATAATCCTGTTTGTGTTGGGTCGTAAGTGGGACATTTGTACATATCTTTAGAAACTTATTTAAAATGAGTATTTTAAAAATTTAAACCTTAAACCTAAAAAAAAAAAGGTGTTAAGATATTAAACCCACATTGACAGTACAATTATTACCACATTTAGTTAACTTCCCAAAGTTTATATCTTTCTTTAATCAGTAATTTTCTTTGTATTATGGTGATATATATGTATATATGTATTTTTTTTTTTTTTCCCTAAGCCCAAATTAATTTTCTTGATTGTTTCTTACTGTTCTATTATTTTTGAATATTATTACTTGTGTATTCAACACAGATTAGAGTTTCTATGCACCAAGAGTTACAACTGGTATCTGTAGGAGGTAAAAAAAACAAACAGTAACCATTTTCTTATAGGACTTAAGAGAGTATGGGAGAGTTTGCCCACTAAGTATTTCATTAGGTTGGTGGATCAAGTTTTTTGGTCCAATTCAGTATTTTAAGTCCTTTGAAACAGTTGCCAATGTTTAAATTAGGGAGAGCTCATAGAAAAGCCTGAAATATTTTTGGTTCTTGAATAATTATGAGATTTGGCATTACATGCTTGGTAGTACATAGCTTGGGTCTTCTCTGAAAGCCATGAAGGCTTGGGTATATGGAGCCTCTGTCCATTTCCCTTAGGAGCAGCAGAATAGGTCTAGCTGTAAGAGAGTGTTAAAATAAATGGTGCCATTAACTGGCTATGCCTGCCTCTCCATTGCCCACTTTATATTGGGACCAGGCCATGCTGCAAAAGCTTGAGGGACTCAGGGTCAAATTTTTCCCAGTTGGTATGTACCCCCAAAAGGGGCCTCTCTAAACAGTGTGGATTGGTTCCCAATCTACGGAGAGACAGATATGTAACAAGCTGAGAGTTAGAGGCTCCCTGCAAATCTCTGGGCTGTCTTGGGCTGTCTTGTGGTATAGTAGGGTGGGTACCCTGTCGCCCGGGGACTACCCAGGGTGTGGAGTGCTACCCTGTGCTCTGAGGGCAGGCTTACCAACAGTCACAGAGATGGCTGGGCACTGTGACAATGGACTTACTCCTCTCAGATAGATGGACCCTACAGGAAACCCGTTTCCTCAAGGGAAGCATGCCTGCTTGATGGCCTTAGCCCACCTCACTAGACGTCTCCCATCATGTCTGTCCACATGCCACCTCAGTGGACTACTCATCCTATAACTCTGATCTTAGTAGTCAGGCTAATGACCTGTTGCCCTGCCTTTCATGTTCAGTGACTCATAAAATAAGGGTCTGACCACTCTCGTACTTTATCCCATCTTTCTTTCACTCATCTGTTTTTTATTTTTATTTTCTAATAATAAAATTTTTAGTTTGTTAATTGAGTTTCTTTTTTATTCTGTTATCACATTTACACAGTTGTGAATATAGCATGGTTCTATATTTAAAGATTCGGGGATCAGTCACTTTGCTGCAATGACTGTTCATTTCTCTATGTGTGTATTTTTAATCTCTTAATTGCCATAGACTTAAAATTATTTTAAATTTGACAATATTTAAATAATTCCTTTGGTTTGAGTAGGAACTTATCTTTAGATTACTATTAGTATCTTTAGATTACTATTTTTACTTCTCAGAATTGTGTGGGTTTTTCGTATTTAATGTAATGTTCCTTTGCAAACAAACAAACAAACAACAAAAAACCCCCCTCTCCTCACTCTTTTATACCTGGTTGTCTATGGAATTATTTTTTTATTCTTTGAATTTCAGTAGCTTAAACTGGGACGTGTTGCACATGCCTGTTTGTGTGTTTGTTTTTTAAATTATTTTGTAACAAGATGCTCTCTTCTTAATAATGCAGATTTAATTCTTAAGCAAACATTTCTTTAGTTTTATATCTTCTATGTCCGTTTTATTTAGTTTTGTTCTTAACATTCACCAGTTATCCTTATTTGGATATTTTTTTTGGTCAACTTCCGCATTTCTCTTAGCTTCCCTTTAATATATTCAGTTTCTTTGCCTTTTTCTTCTTCATTAAGTTACAGCAGTTTTCAATTTTTTCACTTAGTAACTTGATATTTTTGCTATATGTGTGTTTTATTCTTTGTCAATTCTAATTCATTTATTTCCCAGTGATAGGTTTTGTTCCTTTTTTTGTTTTCTTAGGTCTGTAGTCCAATTTTACTTCTCATTCTGTTGTTTTGTCATATAATCTCCCATCTTTTTTAGTGAATTCATTTTAAATAAGGTGAAGTAGAATGTGAAAGATTTGTGGAAGTTTCTTTTAGTCAACAGCTCAGTGGAGGTATTCTTTGTTAGCCTCTCACATTTTATATGTTCCCTATGTGTGCCCTAATGCCAGCTTTCTAGGGCTTTCATTGCTCACCCACCAGGGTGTGGGGAAGTTCGGGGAGAAGCTTACTGGCATTGCTCAACTCATTGGGTAGTTCTGGAGCCTTCGATTCTGACAGGGAGCACCTGCCACATAGTTTTACAAGTTTTGTCTCAGGTTGCTTCTTCCCAGGTTTGGGGGTATTAGTGAAAACAGCAGTAGTTTTATTTGTTTGTTTGTTTGTTTGTTTTTTACCAGTTCTGAATATGGACATGCTTCTAGCCTTCATAGTTTGACATGATCTATGTTCTTTCCATGCTTAGTTGCTAAAGGCAGGGCTAGGCAAACTGCAGCCCACTGGCCAAATTTGGCCCTGCCACCTGGTTTTTTAAATAAAGTGTTATTGGAACACAGCCACACCTATTCATTTACATATTGCCTTTGGCCACGTTCAGGCTTCTGAGACACAGCTGGGTCGGGATGGAGACCACCATATGGCTGGGAAAGCCAAGAACATTTACTATCTGCCCCTTAATAGGGAAAGTGTGCCAAAGCCTGCTGTAGGGTAATTTTATCTTCCTGGCTGGGTTTTGACTATTTTTCTTTCATTTTATTAGGGGTTAGAGGAGAAAGATATAGGACGATCCTTCATTATACTATCTTGACATAGAAATTGATATAATGCTGATTTTAAATATCATGGAATAAAATAACTATTATATTTCCTCTCTTACACCAGAATGCTTGGAATTGTAAGAAACGTTAGAAGAATTAGTTAATATTTATTTGAGATAAGAATGATTTTACCTACCAGGTATCCTTTACTAATAAGTGAAATTATTCACATTAGTTCTCTTTAATGATATCTTCCCCCCCCCCCCTTCTTTTGAATGAGAGTAAAGCAGCTGCTTAATTACAAGAAGAGACTTTAATTTTGTAACTTGCTTCTTTTGCACTTTTCAAAGGTATAAGCGGTTTAACCAGACTTTGGACAGCATTGGAGAGAACGAAGGTGGCATCGATAAGTTTTCCAGAGGTTATGAATCGTTCGGGATCCACAGACACGCTGATGGTGGTTTATACTGCAAGGAATGGGCTCCTGGAGCAGAAGGGGTTTTTCTTACTGGAGACTTCAGTAAGTATTGTGAAAGCATTAAAGACAGTGTTCATATTTTATTAACCTATTTGAAACATAGACTTACTATATTTCATGTACTTGGTGATATGAACATAAGTGATTACAAAAGTCCCACTTTTCAGATAGAGCGACAGACTTGAAGTCTTTATCTGCGTGTGGTACAGGTGTTTTGCTATCACGTGTTATGTGTTCCTGAAAAACTTTATGTTCTGTAAAATCATGTACAAGAAATGAAAGCGTTTATGAGAAGAATAGTGTGAGGCAGACTACGCCAAATTTACTCGACTTTGTTAGCAAGCTCTGAAAAAAACCAATAACAGTCTGGGTGAAAATATTGGTGTAAGTTAAATCTCAACTGGCATTTGTACCTGGTTAGCTGGCATTGTAGTTCTTGGATCCTGTATAGTCTAATATCTTTTTTAGAAACCTCAATAAAAGTAGATATCTAATCTAGGGGGGAAACTTTTTCATCACTTAATTTATTTTTGCTTCTCCTTTTTCATAATAGTAAATACTTCTCCTTTTTGCTCTCTGCTCTGTTAATTTCACTATAGACAGTTAACCGGTTGGAAAGCATAGTAGTTCTAGAGGTTAGGTTTCTGGCTTACCATCTAGTGGGAGGACTGACCTGTATATAAATAACCATAATGCAATCTGCTTAGTTTTATTCTATAAGTATAAATACGTTATTATAATAGTGACAAGGAAGAAAATTCAGTTTTGAAAGTGGAATAACTGGAAAAATAGGCCTTGTCAAAATGTTTATAATACAAGGAAAGGAAATATCAGTATAGTAAAAATCCTTTAGTACCATAGAGTGATGTAGTATTTAAAATTTGATTGTACCAGACTCAAATGCCTACATGCTGTTTTATTCCATTTATCTGACATTATGAAAACAGCAAAACCATAGGGACAGAAAGCAGAGTGGTCACGGTTTGCAGGTAGGAGGTATGGATTGATTATAGAGGAGCATAAGGGAATTTTTGGGGTGATGAAAATGTATTATGTTCTGCCCTGGCCAGTATGGCTCAGTTGGCTGAGCATTGTCCCATGCACCAAAAGGTTGCCGGTTCGATTCCCAGTCAGGGCACAGACCCAGGTTTCGGGTTCGATTTCCAGTCAGGGTATGTGCAGGAGGTAACTGATCAGATGTTTCTCTCTCACACTGATGTTTCTTTCTCTCTCCCCCACGCTCCCTTTCTCTCTCTCTAAAATCAATAAAAGCATTATTTTAAAAATGTATTATGTCCTGATTGTGGCTTTGGTTACCTGACTGTATACATCTGTCATCATTTATAGAACTGTACATGTAAAAGAGTGAGTTTTACTGCATGTAAATATACCCTAAGGAACCTAACTTTAAAAAGGTTTTGATTTTATAATGTATACATTGTCCAAGGCAGAGCTGCCCAATTAAAATACAATGTAAGCTACTTATATAATTCAAAAATTTTAGTAGCTGTGTTAAAAAAGTAAAAGGATAATTTAATGAATTTTAATAATGATACATTTTATTTGACCCAGTATATCAAAATATTTTAACATGTAATCAATATAAAATTTGCCAGCAATATTTTCACTCTTTTGTACTATATCTTATAAATCTGGTATTTTTTCATTGAAAATTTTTGATCTATATTTAGATGCAATAAGATTTTCAGTTCAAAAGTGCATATCTAAGTTTTTGCAAACGATGAAAACTTTTAGTCACTAATTTGAGACATAGTTTTAAAATTTAAATTTAATAAAATAAATAAAATTAAAAATTTAGTTTCTTAGTTGTACTAACTTCATTTCAAGTGCTCACTTATGGGAAAGCACAGGTCTAAGGACTTAAAATAATTCTCTATGCAGTTCCCCAAATTAGATAATTTCAGCTCTCTGTGTTTCTTGAGAGTTACTGAAAAGTTCATTGAGAAAGATCATGTGATCTGCTCATTCAGATTAGCTTGGCCTGGTGAAAATTATTAAATACATTTAGAGAATCAGAGACTTCTCTTTTAAATTATTATTAAAATTGATATTAATATTTTTCCTTATATGCAGACATGGTTATTTCTCTGTCTTCTTTATGCAACTGCCTTGATTACTCATTTTTTGTTAATAGACAATTTAGACATCAGCCTATAGTTAAGGCACATTTTGACATTCTATTTAATTATTTTTATGATTATTTATAAGATTGTGAAGTATTGATTGAGAATGTTCAAGTTAAATTTTTACATAAAGATACCAAAACTACTATAAGAGCCTTAGTTATAATTTAGTACTTTACTAGGTACTCCCTCTTTTATATTTATGTTTAAACCCACTAAGTAGGTTTTAGAAATATAAAAATATGAGAAAGGAACTATATGAAAACTAAATTTGTTATCATAATGGTTAATACTCATGTATTAAAAGTTGTGGCTAGTAAATTTAGTTGGGCCATATGTACATTTGGATAATTGCATTTCAAAATTGTATTTAGCCCTGTGTTCATTGCAGCGATATTTATGATAGCCAAGATTTGGAGGCAGCCCAGTGCCCATCAGTAGGTGCATAGATAAAAGAGCTGCCATGCATTTACATAATGGAATACCACTCAGCTGTAAAAAGGAAGGAAATCTTACCTTTTGTGACATCAAGCATGGACCTGGAGAGTATTATGTGAAATAAGCCAGTCAGAGAAAGACAAGTACTATATGATTTCACTTATATGTAGAATCTAATGAAAGATAAACTAATAAGCTGGAGACAAACTCATGGAAACAGAGAACAGAATGATAGCTGGGTGAGAAGAGTGAAGGGATTAAGCAAAGAAAAAAATAAAGACTAATTTTTCATGAATCTGGTATGGTGATTTGCCAGAGGGAAGGGGGGGTTCGAGGAGGTAAAAGAAGGTAAAGGGGGGATAAATGGTGATGGAAGAAGACTTGACTTGAGGTGGTAAACACACAGTACAGTATACAGATGATGTGTTGTAGAATTGTATACTGAAATCTGTAAAATTTTATTAATGTCACCCCAATAAATTGAATTAAAAAAATAAAACAGCAGTAATCTGCAACAAAGTTGCATTTATGATTTAATGCTTAAATATTAAAAGAATAATTTAAATGCTCTTTTGTAAAGAGAAAAGTGAAAATTACCTATTTCTTATTTTAATGTAAAAACATCCTCTTTTAACTTTTTTGTTTTCAATTTAACTTAATTTTTAAAATCCCTACCCTTTGCGAAGGTGTATCACATAATTTAAAATCTCTCCATATCCTTGAGACAGCATTCAGTCAGTTATTTTCAGTAAACCTTGGTTTAATCAGTGGTCCTTTATTTTTATTGGAGAGATTAGAAAGACTAAGATAAATGAAATTGTGATAGAAAATAGTTAAGAACAAGCAATATGCTGGGAAATTTTAAATGTTTATTTTCTGTAAAATTTTATTAATGTCACCCCAATGTTTAGGGTGACATTTTATTAATGTCACCCTAGATGAAGGGATAGATCTTTTTCTGCTCAAAATAACAGGGTTTCAGGATCTCTTTATACATGGGATCTCAACTTTATCTCACTAAAAGCTTTGACATTATGAAAAAACCTTGAAAATTGAGAGTGGAACCAAAATTTTGGGTTAATAATGCATTTAAATGAATATTTCTTTTGAAAAAAATATATACTTTGGGGATTCCAAGATGGCAGCAGCAATTAAAAAATGGGCAAAGGACCTAAATAGACACTTCTCCAAAGAGGACATACAGATGGCCAAGAGACGTATGAAAAAATGCTCAAAGGCACTAATCATCAGAGAGGTGAAAGTTAAAAGGCATCACCTCAAACCTGCCAGAATGGCTCCATCAGCAAATTAACAAATGACAGGTGCTGGCCAGGGTGTAGAAAAAAGGGCACCCTAGTACACTGCTGGTGGGAGTGCAGACTGGGGCAGCCACTGTGGAAAACAGTATGAAATTTCCTTAAAAAATTAAAAATGGAACTGCCATTTGACCCAGTGATCCCACTTTTAGGAATATATCCTAAGAATCCTGAAACATTCATCAGAAAGAATATATGCACCCCAATGTTCATAGCAGCAGTTTACAATAGCTAAGACCTGGAAACAGCCCAAGTGCCCATCCGTAAATGAGTGGATAAAAAAGCTGTGGGACAGTTACACCATGGAGTACTATGCGGCTATAAAGAAGAAGGATCTTGTACCATTTGAGACAGTATGGAAGGACCTGGAGAATATTATGCTGAGTGAAATAAGCCAGGCGGCGAAAGACAAGTATCACATGATCTCACTTATTTTGTGGAATCTAATGAATAAAATAGCCTGACGAACAAAATAAATCCAGAGACGTAGAAGCATGCAATAGGCTGACAAATCTCAGAGGGAAGGGGGAGGGCAGGAAGAGATTAACCAAAGAACTTACATGCCTAAATTCATAACCCCTGGACACAGACACTAGTGTGGTGAAGGCCTGGGGAGGGCGCAGGAGCTGAGTGGAAGGGGTCAGTGGGGGGAAAAAATATGGTTATGGTTACACAACTCTGTAAACATTAAAAACCTTGAATTTATACTTTAAACAGGTAGACTTTATAAATTATATCTCAATAAAACTTAAAATAGTAATATACATAGATGTATATATATATACATATATATACACCTGAATAGTAATTTAATGACCATGTAGAACAGAACTTTGATGATAATGAAAACAGCTAAAAATATACCCTTTTATAAGTGAACTAACCATGCCTTTTATTTTTATCCTCACCTGAGGATATGTTTGTTGTTGTTTTTTAATTGAATTTTTAGAGAGAGAGGAAAGGAGAGAGAGAGAAACACTGATACGAGGGGAACATCTATTGGTTGCCTCCTCTATGTGCCCCGACTGGGAATCGAACCTGCAATTTTGGTGCATGGGAAGACACTCCAACCACCTGAGCCACCTGGCCAGGGCGCCATGCCTTTTTTTTTTTACACCACAATTAAGGGATTCTGTACTTTGTT